TACCACACCAATTACTTTCATGAGGTTCCTCTCCAGTGTTGAGTTCTTTGATGGAGAACAAGTCTGGAGTTTAATCTGAAAGCCTTTCCACATTCATTACATTCATAAGGTTTCTTTCCAGTGTAGATTGTCTGATATACAATAAGAGATGATCATTCCCTAAAAACTTTGCCACATTTGTGACATTCGTGAGGTTTCTCTCCAGTGTGGATTCTTTGATGGAGAACAAGTCTGGAGTTTAATTTGAAAGCCTTCTCACATTGATTACATTCATAAGGTTCTTCTCCAGTGTGGATTCTCTGATGTATAGCAAGACCAGAACTGTATCTAAAAGTCTTTCCACACTGATTACATTCATAAGGTTTCTCTCCATTGTGGATTCTCTGATGTGCAGCAAGACCAGAACTGTATCTAAAAGTCTTTCCACATTGATTACATTTATAAGGTTTCTCTCCAGTGTGGACTCTCTGGTGTTCTAAAAGACTAGACCTCTGTCTGAAAGTCTTTCCACACTGATTGCAAGGATAAGATTTCTCTCCAGTGTTGCTTTTCTGATGCACAATGCAAGAGGAGTTTTCACTGAAAACCCTACCACATTCATGACACTCATGAGATTTCTTCTTAGTATGAATTCTCTAATGGGAAATAAGGGATGAATGTTGTTTGAAGGCCTGTCCACATTGCATACATTTATGTAGCTTTTCTTCACTAGTATGAAATTGTTGATGGTGAATAAATGATAACTGTTGCTTAAGGATTTACTATGCACATTACAGCCATAAGGTTTCTTTCCATTTGGAATTTTCTGGTGGTTAATGAGCTTTGAATTATGATTGAAGGCCTTCTTACCTTCATTACATGTTTAAAGCATTTCTCTGGTATGACTTTTCTGGTGATTACTTAGCTCTGAATTCAAGCTGAAGGTCATCTTACATTCATTACTTTGATGAGTATGCACTACCAGAGGCTTCTCATGAGACTCAACAAGCCCTCCCTGTTCAGTAAAGCTTTCCTTATATTTATGATCCTGTGAACAGCCATTCCCTGAGGTCCTTCTCTCACAGTGAATTAGGAGGGAATGTTGTCTGAAACTCTTTCCATCTTTATTATTTTTTTTATGAGGCAATTGGGGTTAAGTGACTTGCCCAGAGTCACTCAGCTAGTAAGTGTTATGTGTCTGAGGCCAGATTTGAACTCAGGAACTCCTGACTTCAGGGCCAGTGCTCTATCCACTGTGGCACCTACCTGCCCCTCTTTCCATCTCTATCAAATTCACAGTGACTCTTTTGTTTTTCCTCCATCTTGATATTAGATTCACAGATATCTCTCAAATTGAAGTCACAGTGACCGTCATTCACAGAATCTTGGCCATTGTGATTTTTCCACAGAAATGCTCAGCTCTGAAGTAGTCTCCCTGATTTCAAGCCTGGTCTCTCCATCTGGACAGGAGGTTCTGGGGTCTTCTAGCTCCAGCATCCATGGTGCTTCCCCTTGTTCAAAATGGGAGATCAAACCTTCCCTGGGAACTGGAAGTCCCAAGGAGAGCAGGTTCTGGGCATTCTCCAGCATGACCTTCTTGTACAATTCTTTCTGAGGATGGTCCAAGAGGCCCCACTCCTTCTGTAGTTTGAAAACAGGCTGTGGGGTGGATGAGGTCATCCAGAGTAGTATAAAATCTTCTGTGAAGAATGGAACCTGAGGAGGTGGTGGCCTATTTTATATGGAGACAGGAATGACAGCTGTTAGTACAAGCTGTTACTTCCTATTCTGAGATGGAAAACAATGTGGTTGAGTGGACTCTGCTGGGATAGATTTCACAATCCCACTAAGCATTCGTTGGTTGTTTTTCCCTTTAGTCTATAAACATGGCAGGGCTGTATGGCATAGGTGACTGAAACTAAGCACCAGAACCGAGCTGTGGACTTGTGACTGGATGACAGGGAGTCATGGGAAGAAGATTTGGGAAAAGCAAGGCCTTCTCTTTGGAAGTCTGTCTGCCTTTCTTGCTGGGTTGTAAGTAAGGCTAGCTTGTGGGGGCAGGAATGAAAGTCATGCTATAGGATAAGGATTTTAAGTGACAATAAATGTTCCTCCCAAAATGGTTTTGAACAGATAGCAGTTTAAGAAGAATCGCCACCTTTCCTGAGAGTCAAATCTTGCAAGGGAGAATGGTAAGAATGTTGAGTTTGGAGTCAGAGGAGGGTGTGCCTTGCAATGCTCTGTGGGACCTTGGGCATGTTGCTTAAAATCTCTAGGCCTCTGTTGGCTCTTTGGAAAAGGAGGGGATTGAACTCTATGAGGCCAAAATTTGGATTGTACTGTTCTCTGATCTTTAACAAATCAAGGAAGGGCCTAGAAGCTCCTAGTGGAAATAGGTTTCTCCAGGTTCTTTGTCCAAGTGCAAGCATAGTTTGAGTAAATGTCTCAAGGCTATTGCTTTGAAGGAGGGCATGAATCTAAAACGTTATGAATAATCCCAAATGTTTCCACTTTCTTCATCAGGGAGTGTCTGAGTCTGGGGTTGGGGAGGTTGGAAAAGGCCTGGGCACATTTGGGGGAGAGAGCTGAATCCAGGAAGGGGCCAAACTCATTTGGACTTGTGAGTTCTGATAGGCTCATTCCAAGACAGAAGAAAAACAAAAGAAGCAAGCTACCTGGTCTGATCCCTTGAGGGTGAGGAAATGCCATAGACTTGAATTAGTTCCCATTCATTTTCTGATCTAAGTTAGGCTGATCAGCCATTAGGTGTAGGTCTCCAGTGAGGCAGGTTTAGCGAGTGACGTCAATAAGGGAGAGGCCGTTATACAGATGAGGAGACTCCTGTCCGCAATTTCTCTAAGCAGATAGTGCGTCTGGAAAAGGTGGATTTGGGGGTCGGAGGGGCCGAGGCGAGTTGGGAGGGGTTGAAGCGCTTGCGGGTGTTGGCGGTTTGTGCTGGTGGAGCGTGTGTCGTTGGGCTGTGGAAGCGCCGCGTGAGTGATCGTGCGTTTAGAGTGTGTGTGCGTGGAGGGAGTGGTGGAGCGCGGCGTGATGGGGCATAGTTACCTGGCAGGAGTGATTCCATGATTACGAAGGTGGTTTCTCCAGGCTGAGGCTTATCCATCGCACTCAGGGTGCACTGATCCCTGCGATTTCCCCAAACGTGAGAAAGCCGATTGTGAAATCTGTTGTAGTGGGGGACTGTGTTTGCGTTCCCCCCTAATCTCGAGGTTCCCAGAAAATAGTTTTAGTTGGTTGTTAGCTATTTCTTTCTGAAACCAGTGGCTCAAGAATCAAGTTGTGGCACTGTCATAAAGCAGCTTTGTTCATTGCCAAGTTCTGGTTCTGGTAAACCAGTCTTTCTGCTTTTGTCCTGAAGGTTGTGTGATTGACAACCTTTGTCCATCCTATCAAGGGAGATGCCAAGATCTCCAGAGAAGTTTTTCGTCTTTGAGGCCTACTTAGTTGGAATGGGGTATTCCTCAATCTTATTGTATGTTTTGCAAAAACATATGCAGAAACATGCTTTAATGATTTTCAAGAAAAGGTTTCCAAGGTGTTGTAAGGGGCTTGATGTTTAAAAAAATAGCTATCCCCCCAATTATGTGTAAAAAAATTTTTAACATCTTTGTCTTTTAAGTTTTGAGTTCCACATTCTGTTCTTCCTTCCTCTCTCCCCTCTCTGAGATGGCAAGCAATCAGTATATACATGTACAATCATGTGAAACATATTTCCATATTAGTCATTTTGTGGAAGAAAATTGGAACAAAGGAAAGGAAGACTTCCCTGATGCTCTACCAGATTCCTTTTATCTTTCACTGTATAGTCAAATTTAGTGCCAGTGGTAATCCTGAGCAGTCAATTAGTAGATTTCGGTTCCGAATTAATTTTTTTTTAATGAACAACAATGCTATTTATCTCCCTACCTCCTTTCACTGCTGCAAAAACAAAACAAAAAATTCCTTTGAAATAGGTAGGAGTAGACGGGCAGAAGAAATAGCCTCACTGACCATAATAACAACAAAATGCGCTACATTCTGCACCCTGAGTACCCTCACCACTCTGACAGAAGGTAAGAAGTATACTTTATCACCTGTCCACAGGAATCTCGGTTGGACCAGTCCTCGTGCTGCTCAGAATTCCTAAGGTACACTTAGTTGTGATGGATTCCTAGGTTCTGTGGGTTGGCTTCTCAGTGAGTGCGTTTTTTTCCTTTCCTTGGTGTTTGTCATTCAGTAAGATTGGGGCGGCTAAGCAGGCTGAGAACCTGCTGTTGTATTCGCCCTTTTCATGCAGAACTTGGGATCTGGCAGGAGAAGGACGTGAATGTGTGGCTGTGAGTGTGTATAGGGAGAGTGGGCTTAAAAGCAACTCATTGTTTGTTTTTTCCCCTTGAGAAAAGTGAAGAAATAACGCACTTGCTTTTTCTGTTCCAGACCAGGTTTGTCTTTTTCACTGGCTATTGTTTTGTAACTTCCAAAAAGTAAAAAGAAAGTTTCATTGGAAAGTGAAAGTTCATTCATTGCTCTAAGTAATGTCCATAACTTTTCCTGCAAGGAAAGATGTTACTATTCTGCTCATCCCAAACTTAAAAAAGCAAACCTTGGAAAACCAAATCTCACTTGCATGCTAGATAAAGTTTTCTTTCCCCTTCTGCGAAGATTGCAAAACAAATGTTCTACTGATGTTTTGTTTCTCTGAAGACCAAGAAATACTAACGAGCTTTTTGTTTCTTTTTTTACCCACAGAAACTTGTTCACCAAAGGGAAGTGTACCATCCTAGAAGTACTGCAGTACTGGGTCGATGCGTAGAGTGGACAGAGCAAGCTCCTATTCCATCACCCACATTCAAAGATCCATTTAAAATACTGCCCTCAGCAAAGGAGATAGGATTATAATCGAGAATCACCTACCCAGCAAAACTGAGTATAATCTTTCAGGGGAAAAAATGGTCATTCAGTGAAACAGAGGACTTTCAAGCATTCTTGATGAAAAGACCAGAGCTGAATAGAAAATTTGACTTTCAAATACAGGACTCAAGTGGAACATAAAGAGGTAAACAAGAAAGAGAAATCATAAGAGACTTTTTAAGATTGAACTGTTTACATTCCTGCATGGAAAGATGATATTATAACTTATGAAACCTTTGTCAGTATCAGGGTAGTTGGAGGGAAAAAGTTATATGTATGTATATGTAGACAGATAGAGGGCACAGGGTGAGCTGAAGATTAAAGGGAGAATAAAATTAAGGGGTGACGGAGGATTATACTCAGAGAAGAAGAAAGGGAGAGGTAGAATGGGGTAAATTATCTCACAAAAAAAAACCAGAAAAAAAAGCCTCTTGCAGTGGACAAGAAACAGGGGAAGGTGAGAGGGAATGAGTGAATCTTATTCTCATAGGATTTGGCTTAAGGAGGTTATAATATACACATTCAATTGGGTATGGAAATCTGTCTTACCCTACAGGAAAATAGGGGGAGAAGGGGACAAGAGAGCAGGGGGATGATAGAGAGGAGGGCAGATTGGGAAAGGGGGTAATCGGAAGTAAATACTCCTGAGGAGGGACAAGCTCAAAAGAAATAATAGAATAAATGGGAGGGCAGGATAGGATTAAGGGAAATAGAGTTAGTTTTTCACAGCATGTCTACTATGGAAGTGTTTTGCATAACTGCACATGTATAACCTATATTGAGTTGCTTGCCTTTTCAATGAGGGTGGGTGGGGAGGAAGAGAGAAAATTTGAAACCTAAAGTTTTAAAAACATATGTTTAAAAAAGTTTTCACGTGCTACTGGGAAATAAGAAATACAGGAAGTGGGGTACAGAAGTCTATCCTGCCGGATAGGAAAATAGAAGGGGAAGGGGGGATAAGAGAAGGGGAGAGAGATAGAATAGAGAACGGACTAGGGGATGGAATATTCAGAATGCATGCCATCTTGGGGTGGGGGGAGGGAGGAGATGGGGCAAAAATTTGGAATTCAAAAACTTGTGCAAGTTCATGTCGGAAACTAAAAATAAATAAATTTATATTTAAAAAATAATAAAGTAAGATACTGCCCTCAGAGAACATATCAGACATCAAACTGATAAGAACAGATAGTCCACTTGATCTTAGCCAAAAAGAGGAGAACCGATGGGCACCGGGCTGCAGCTCCCCTCACCCTTCTCTATAGTCCTTCCTACTCGCGCTCACTCCGAAAACTCACAAAACCTCCAACGCCCTCAGCTACCTCTAGCACCCGACAAAACAGCTACCACCCTGGCGCTTTTACGCAACCAAACAGTCGCCTAAAAACACCCCAGAAAATGACCCTTTACAAGATTTTAGCCCTTTCTTCGGGCAAGAGCACTTTCCTCCCACCCAAAAGTCCTTGCCTCCTCTCTTGCTCAACATTTGCATAATTCTCCTCCCTTTGCCACTTTCCCTTTCATTTCTCCTCTTTGCTTTCTTTCTTTTCTGTTTCTCCTTCAAAGGCCTCCACAAGCAATGCTGAAACCCATCTACCAGGAAGAGAAATCAGGGCGCTGGGATCGCCGTGATGGGGAGCCGGCACTTCACAGATGCCTTGGATTACTGGCATGCCCCACTGCCTTGTCAGAGCCCTGCGCATTTAAAAAAAAAAAGACTGAAGAAGAAAAAAAAGGTGGCATTTTCAGAGTGATGGAATATTGCTGGTAAAGTAAGACATAACAGGGAACAAGGTATTCCAGCTCCCTTTTCCAAAAATCCATTTCACGCCTAGTCCAGGGCTAGCCGAACCCAGGTTCAAAGACCTCAAATCCCATGGCCACTCCCCTCTATCATACCGCCTCTTCCTTAATTTCTGTAGCACATTTCCATCGACCTCATATAGTCATGATTGCTACAGCCACTACCCTGGTAATCCTACCAAGAGATCATGTTTAAATACACTCCCGCTTTGCAGTGTACAAGCAAGGTCATCCAGCCAAACATTTCTTCTACCCATCAGTGTCCCAAACTAATGCCTCGTTGCCAACTGTCCAGCCTAGACCCTAAATTGGACAGCATTGTTGCTTGAGAACTCGAGTGTTGTGTCCTCTTCATTCTACCTTGGGTAGATTGCAACACCCGTTCCTATCTGCCTCCATAATGTCACACTCACTGCCTCGTGTATCCACTTGCAGAGAGGAAGATTCTGTCCTTGAAGAGTCAGAATCCCCCGCGCCATCGGAGGTCATTAACCTTGAGATGTGGGTTTCACCTGGACAAACCTTTTTGTTATATGCCGTGCCTCCTGATTTTCTTCAACAGCTGACAAGAGTACCCTGATACAAGAGATGTTCCCTTGGTCACTGGCAACACAGGAGAACAGGGAGGCAAAAAATCATCAAAGTCAACAAAGTAACCAGCCTCACTAGAGGTATTCAGTTTCGTGCTCTCCTTGATATCAACATAGTCAACTGGTGAGTATAAAAAACCAATTCAGAAATCTGAGTATGAAGCAAACGTCACCTATGTTATTTCTTTTATTTGTTTTATATAGATTTTTTCCCAATTATGTGCAAAGATCATTCTAAGCATTCATTTTTATAAGTTTTAAGTTTCAATTTTTTCTCCTTTCCTCTCCTCCCTCCTCCCTAAGATGGCATATGAGCAATCATGTAAAATATATTTCCATAACAAAAGTGGTGGGAAAATAAGAAAAAAATAAAGTGAAAATAGTATGTTTCGAACTGCATACAGACTCCATCAGTTCTTTCTCTGGATGTGGATAGCATTTTCCGTCATGAGTTCTTTGAAATTGGATGAACAGATCGTCGCACAGTGTTGATGTTATTGTGTACAATGTTCTCCTGGTTCTGTTCACTTCACTCAGTAGCAGTTCATGTAAGTCTTCCCATGTTCTTCTGAAATCTGCATGCTTGTCATTTCATATAGCACAACAGTATTCCATTACATTCAACAACTTGTTCAGCCATTCCCCAATGGATGAGCATTCCCCCCCGCCAATTTCCAATTCTTCACCACCACAAAAGGTGCTGCTATAAATATTTTTGTACATGTGGGTCTTTTCCCCTTATTTATGATCTCTTTGGGAGATAGACCTAGCAGTGGTATTGCTGGATCAAAGAGTATGTACAGTTTGATTGCCCTTTGAGCATAGTTACAAATTGCTCTCCAGAATGAGTGGATCAGTTCACAAGTTTATCAACAGGTCATTAGTGTCCCAGTTTTCCCATATCTTCAACATTTATCATTTTTCTTTTCTGACATATTATTAGCCTGATACGTGTGAGGTGGTGCCTCACAGTTGCTTTAATTTACATTTTTCTAATCAATAGGGATTTAGAGCATTTTTTTCCCGATATGATTATCTATACCTTTGATTTCTTCCTCTGAAAAATGCATGTTCATATCTTTTGACCATTTATCCATTGGGGAAAGACTTGTATTCTTAGAAATTTGACTCAGTTCTCTAAGTATTTGAGAAATGAGGCATTTATCAGGGACGCTTGCTGTAAAAGTTTTCCCCCAGCTTTCTGCTTTCTTTTTTAAGCCATCGGGGTTAAGTAACTTGGCCAGGGTCACACAGCTAGTGTCAAGTGCCTGGTCTGAGGCCAGATTTGAACTCATATCTTCCTGAATCCAGGGCTGGTGCTTTTCCCACTGCGCCACCTAGCTGCCTGCCGCTTTCTTTCTGATCTTGATTGTATTGCTTTTGTCTTGTACAAAAGCTTTTTAATGTAATATAATCCAAATTACCCGTTTTGCATCTTGTAATGCTCTCTATCTCTTCATTTGCTCATAAATTCTTCCCTTCTCTGTAGATATGACAGGGAAACTATTCCTTGCTCTCCTAATTTGCTGATGGTATCACCCTTTATGTCTAAATCACGTACTCATTTTGACCTTATCTTGATATAAGGAATGAGATGTTACTCTATACCTAATTTCTGCCATGCTGTTTTCCAGTTTTCCCAGCAATTTTTGTCAAATAGTAAATTCTTATCTCAGAAGTTAGAATCTTTGGGTTTATCAAACAGTAGATGACTGTAGTCATTGACTACTGTGTCTTGTGTACCTAATCTATTCCAATAATCCACCACTTTATTTCTTAGCCAGTACCAGATTGTTTTGGTGATTACCACTTTATAATATAGTTTGAGATCTGGTATGGCTAGGCTACCTTCCTTTGCATTTTTTTCATTAAATCCCTTAATATTTTGTTCTTCCAGATGAAATCTGTTATTCTTTTTCTAGCTCTAAAAAATAATTTTTTGGTAGTTTGGTATGGCACTATATAAATAGATTATTTTAGGTGAAATTTTCATGTTTATTATATTGGTCTGGCCTACCCATGAGCAACTGATATTTTTCTTTTTTAATTCTTTTCTTTGTGAGGCAATCAAGATTAAGTGACTTGCCCAGGGTCACACAGCTAGTGAGTATCATGTGTCTGAGGGAATTTGAACTCAAGTCCTCCTGACTCCAGAGCTGGTGCTTGATCCACTGTGCCACCAAGATGCCCCTGGTATTTTTCCAGTTGTTTACATCTACCTTTATTTCTGTGAAAAATGTTTTGTGATTGTGTTCATATAGTTCCTGGGTTTGTCTTGGCAGTTAGACTCACAAGTATTGTCTGTAGTTATTTTAAATTGATTGTTGGTAATTTGTAGAAATGTTGATGATTATGTGGGTTTATTTTATATCCTGCAACTTTGCCAAAGTTGTTAATTATTTTAAGTAGTTTTTTAGTTGATTCTCTAAGTATACCCTCACACCATCTGCAAAGAGTGACAGTTTTGTGTTCTCGTTGCCTGTTCTAATTCCTTCTATTTCTCTTTCTCCTCTTATTGCTAAAGCTAACATTTGTGGTATAATATTGAATAATAGTGGTGATAACAGACATCTTTATTTCACTCCTGATTTCATCAGGAAAGCTTCTAGCTTATCCCCATTACAGATAATGCTGCCTGGTGATTTTAGATAAGATACTACTTGCCATTTTAAGGAAAGCTCCATTTATTCCTATGCTCACTTGTGTTTTTAGTAGGAATGGGTACTGGATTTTGTAAAAAAGTATTTTTTTTCAGCATCTATTGAGATAATCATATGATTTCTGTTGGTTTGTTATTGATATGGTCGCTTATTCTGATAGTTTTCCTAGTATCAAACCAGCCCTGCATTCCTGGTATAAATCTCACCTGGTGATAGTGTATTATCCTGGGGATATATGGCTGTAATCTCCTTGCTAATATTTTATTTAAATTTTTTGCATCAATATTCATTAGGTAAATTGGTCTATAATTTTCTTTCTCTGTTTTGGCTCTTCCTGGTTTAGGTATTAGCACCATATTTGTGTCATAGAAGGAATTTGGTAAGACTCCTTCTTTGCCTATTTCCCCAAATTCACTGATATTATTTTAAGCTGGAGTGTCCTTCATGATCTCCAATGCCTCTATCAGACCTGAAGTACAGACTGTCAGAGGTGATGTCAAGATCCCACCAATTTCAGCATCTTCTGACAGCAAAAACTAAAGTCCCAGTAACCTCTCTCTTGGTTTTCAGGGGGCAGCCACAGTAGAGAGATTTACAGCAGTATAGTACATAGTAAAATGCCCTCACATGCCATCTGACCCAGTGGAAGATATAATTCAGGTTAAAAATATTTTAATTTTAGGAATTTTATTTGCCGTATGGTATTTACCGTACTGTAGATTTCATGTGTTATGAAAAGGTAATATTGGCTCGAATCAATTTTTTTTATTGAGATGTTAGCACAAACAGTCACAGAATTCTAGAGAATTACTATTAAGAAAAAAAGTTTTTGCATGTTAAAAATTTTATTTTGTGTACTGCATTTCATGGGTTATTTAATAGTCACTGTGTTAGAAAAAGTGCATGTTATCAGAATTAATGTTTTGTTATAAAGAATTGCATGATGAAAAGTGTATTTTCAGCCATCCATAGTGAAAGATTACAGTTTTTGGTGGTTACAGAACCGAATCCCCTGTTTCCTACAAGTTCAGTGTATCAACATTCATGTTTGTTACTTTTGTGCTTTTTTCTAGGAACATTGTCCCCATGAAAGTTGAGGATTGGCTATATTTCACATTTCTTTTTTTCCCTCTGGTCTTTTGGCTATGTTTTATTGTTTTTTGATGTCTCTTGGAGTAATTAGCTTTCACTTCCCCAACTGTAATTTTTGAGGAATTATTTTCCTCAGTAAGGCTTTTACCTTTTTTGCTATTTGGCCAATTCTAATTTTTTAAGAAGTTTTATGATTTTTTTTAATTTTTAAGGAGTTTTAGGAGTTTCTTTAGGATTTTTTGTGCTTCTTTTACCAAATTGTTATTTCTCTTGGCATAATTTTATTCATTCCCCTCCCCATTTTTTCTTCTAGCATTCTGATTTTTCTTTTTTTCTTTTCTTTTTTATCTCTTTCTTTATCTCTTCTAGGAATTCTTCTCAGGCTTGTGTCCAATCTTCACTTTTTTCTTGGAGGCTTTGCTTGTACAGTAGATGTTTTCAAACCACTGTGTTACCTTGTCTCCTGAGTAATCAGCTTTTTGTGGTCAGGTTTGTTTGTTGGAATTTGTTGTTTGTTGCAATTTTTTGGAATGCCAGTAATGATATAAACAACAGGAAAGCACAATCATATTTGACCGAGCAGTCAGTTAAGCCCACTGGTCAAATTATGATGGCACATTCACTTCTACCAAGCATTTCATTTAAACAATGGAGTGGTCACTGAGGGTCCTCTGTCTCCTGGATGGACTTTGGAATTTATATTAGAATTGGGCTCTGCTTACCTCTTGGTAGGAGTGGTGGGTGGAGTGACTGTCCTGAACTTCCTGCTGTTTTCACAGCTACATATAAGGGCCTGTAAGTTATAGGTGCTTCTAAGGTGATATGATCTGAGGAGAGATGTAGTCACTGCCCTCCTGGTCTTTCCTGCCGGGAGTGCCTACGTCCCCAGCCATGGTCTGATGTCAGCAGAGTGTGAAGAGGGAAAGAATCACGGGCCAGGTAGAAGATGCGAAGAACAACTTCGTTTATTGATCTGAGAGCTCAGGCTTATACAGTACTGGATCAAGCAATAGTAACATTATTTTTCATGAAAAGTACAAATCTAATTAAGTGATTTCCTTACTTCCTTGTACCTTGTCTGTTACATTCTTTCCTGCATTCTGTCCTGTACCATATCTGTTTCCTCCCTTCCTGCATCCTGTTCTCAAGAGATGGAACAGGGGGGTGGTGACCCGACATCCTGAGTTTCACAGCTGTCAGGCTTAGTACAAGCTACCGGGCTGGCCTAAGCCCTCTAACTCCCCAAAGATGGATCTCTACATCTCCCCCTTTCTTCTGTTCTAGCTTGAGAATGTGGGATACACATCAGGAGAAAACTCAGGAGTAACAAGAATACTACCGCGTATGAAATGCAACAGCAAACTTGAAATGATTGGAAAGTGTTAAGTTGCTTGATATAGTACAACAGTTTATAAACAATATCTTGAGGATCAATACCATCCATGTTATGTTTTTGGAATGCCAAGTGCCCTGAAGCTTATTCAATATTTGATCAGGAGTTACATTGGTAGTATTAGAAAGCAAATAGGGAGTTACACAGACAAAAGTATAGTGGTCAAGTTACAGGTTTAACCCAAGTGGGGTAAGACATAAATCCAATGTAATTATGACTCTGTCCCGGAGCCATCTGCAACAGTCAGCATTGCAAAAAGGGCAGTCAGGATCTTATTATTGGCTCTTCATCTTCTCGGTCTTGCCTTCCTCCTCCGTTTGTCTCTCCGACCAGCTTTTCCTTTGATGCTTAGGGTCTCTATTCCTCTGGTCTGTATGCTGACAGGAGCTAATGTTCCTCTTGGGGACCCAGACCAGTTCTCCTGCATGTTCTGGAAAAACACAAGCATAACCTCGACCCCAGGTTAGTAATTTTACTGGACCATCCCAATTACCTGTCTTTGGATCCTTCCACATTACTGTGACATCTGGTTGCTCATCTATCAGCTTGTTCTTTTGTCCTACAAAATGTTTTTGTGTAGGAGTACATCCCTGATCATCTAGTGTCAAAAAATTTATGGTATATATTACCTGATCTAATCTCCTTCTTACCCTATTTTCTATTCCCTCTTTTTTCTGTTTATCAAGGAGGATTTTAATATCCTTGTTGCACCTTTTAACAACGGCTTGTCCAGTAAGATTGTACGGGATGCCAGTAGAGTGAGTGATATTATAGGTGAGACAAAATTGTGCAAAATTCCTGCTAGTATAGGCGGGACCATTGTCAGTCTTGAGGTGTCTTGGATTGCCAAGAACACTAAAGCAAAACAAGAAATGACATTGCTTATGTCCTTCTTAAAATATGTAAGTAATCCAAAGTATCTGCTTGTCTTCATATGATATTCATCTTTCCCCCACTTTTTTTTTGCACATACTCTGACACATACATTGTAATTACACTTAAAAAACATGAATCCCACGTTGATATGAAATAAAGGAATTTTAGAATAAGACTCTCCCTAACATTGTGTAATTGTTCAGTAGAAAAATAAACAACTAAATATGATTAAGTAATGTTTAGAACAGCATAAATTTAAGTAGCTAAGAAATCAGTTTATGTATAGAAATGTGTTTAAGGCTATGCTTCTTGGCAGAAAACACAGAAATAACTAAGTTTCCTATCTGTAGTTAAAAAAAGATTCCCTAATGGTTTAATTAATAAAAATTATTTTCAACTCTTAAATGTTATTTTAACTACTGACCAGGCTATGACAAATTTATGCTGGATTTTCTAATACAAGAGGGGAGTTAGGCAGTAGAACTCTGCAGCAAAGCAAAAGAATTTCTTTAGTTATCTACTGAATTCAAGAGGGTTTTGTTGGGCAAGGGTAAAAATCTATTTCTAAATATTCAAAGACAAGTAGATGTCCCCTTTCCCACTTCACTTGTTTAATTTGCTTCCAAATCCTCCCAATGAACCACCAGGACACATGAAAGCTTAAAAATATTGTATTAATATTCTAACAAAGTAGGAATGAATAACTTCTTCTTAAATCAAAAAGTTCTATCAAAGATATGTTAAAAAGAACTTATGAAATTATAGCCTTTATATACTGTAAACTATATTAAGATTTTAGCTATATTATAACTAGTACTAAGGAGCTGATTCAGAAAATTCACAAGCTGTATCTTACTGGAAATTTTAGTATACAAACAGTGCATTAGACTGTATTTAACATACAAACTGCTTGTGTCAAAGTTCTAAAGCAGAGAGTTTATTTATTCCTACCCTTGAAGTTTCCTCCCCACCTGATTAAGAAAACAAGTTGATTTGTTTTCTAATTATTGATATAACTTAGCTTCTTAAGTAATTTTCCTCTTTTTTGAATACCAGTGTAATTTTTAAGTTACCTAAATGGTGGTTGTAGATAAAATGATACAATCTTTATTTTTGTAGAATTACCGTAAGATAGAACTCTTGATTTACAAACTGATCTGAAATGAATGGAAGGTTGCAAAGGACATGTATCTACAAAGGTATAAAATTAAGTATGCTATTTTAGCTCTAACTCCAATAAAACTTTTATATATATATGGCAAATGTCCTATTTTCTTTGATTATTAAAAAGGCTCTAAAATGAAATCCCCTTAACCACTGATTTTGGTTAGTCTGCTCATCTGCCACATCACATTTACCTTTGTTTTTTTTTTAAATACTGTTTGGAAATGTGATGGCTGACAAAAAATGTTAATATACAATTTTCTTTGAGACTCTTGAAAACCACAAAAATTTCTAATATCATGATGACTACAAATTCTAACATTTAATGTAAAGTCATCATAACTCTTTGCATGCCACAACGACATACACCTAAGGCCAACTTTTTTCAGAATGTACTATAACTAGAATAAAATCAAATAGGGAGACATATATAAAACGGGAAATACAAAGTAGCTTCACATCACAGCTCCTGCTTGTCCATAAGGCATTATGGAGGGAGTAATAACTTCACTTACACACTGACTTTGTAAATGTGATCAGCTGCCAATGTCCTGAATATTTATGAATCTCACTTTAGTTTTTATATATGTTACATAAAATTGTACCAAGGAAACCAAAAAAGGCTTTCCAGAACTACTGGTAGATTCTACTTAAACAACTAAAAATTACCAGAATTAGGCTGTATTTCAATGTTATGTGAAGAATAATTAATATTCACCTGAAAAAAGGACTCTTGTACATGAGGAAACTCTACTTGTACACATGGGACTTTTTAACAAGAACAGGACAGCAGCATGGTAACCACTTTTCTAAGTATATTTTCTACACAAAATAATTCCAAGATATAGTCGTTAAGTTCTCATACAGTACTATTATTTTAAACAATAATCAATAAAATAACAAAAATGTGAAAATTGCAACACCACGAAGACTGAGCACTGCCATTTCCTAGTGTAATCAAAGTTGGTATTAGTACAGTCTTGGAATAGGAGAGCAAAATAGTCAGCAGATTGAATCTTGGTGATACACTGGATTGATTTCAGCTATGACTTGCAATGCAATGGTTGGACAGTACAGGTATCTTATGCAGAGATTTCAGTAGCAGCATGGCACTTGGTTTGTTCTCAATAGAAATGACAAAGATGCAGTTGACAGTTTAAAGAAAGACAATGTTCTTATTTGCATGCTGAAATTCTAGTTGTGTCCCCTGTATTTGAACACTTTTAAATAATATTGTCTGTCTCTCTGTTCTGCCCACCAGCTCTGCCCCATATTAGCTAACTGTCTTATAGGACACTACTTAACCGGTGAGGTTTGCTTTCACTTTAAATTGGAGACGGAAAAGTGGCAGTCTCGTTCTTAAGTTTACTGTCACTTTAAGAGACCCCAAAAAGCAGCAGTCTCATTTCTTTTTAATCCCCACTTAACCTGGTGAAAATAAAAAACTATATATGAAAATTATCTCCCTACCTTGTTAGCCATCTTCTCTTGACGACTGGAGCGCCTTTTCTAGGGCTGTTGGCTAAACAGCCCACCCTGTCCAGGGCCACTCTGCCGGGGGAAGCCTTCCTTTCAGGTCCCTCTCTAGGCATCAAATGCCGGGAGTGCCTGTGTCCCTGGCCGTGGTCTGATGCTGGCAGAGTGTGAAGAGAGAAAGAATCACGGGCCAGGTAGAAGATGTGAAGAACAAACTCCGTTTATTGATCTGAGGGCTCAGGCTTATACAGTACTGGATCAAGCAATAGTAACATTATTTTTCATGAAAAGTACAAATCTAATTAAGTGATTTCCTTACTTCCTTGTACCTTGTCTGTTACATTCTTTCCTGCATTCTGTCCTGTACCATATCTGTTTCCTCCCTTCCTGCATGCTGTTCTCAAGAGATGGAACAGGGGGGTGGTGAGCTGACAACCTGAGTTTCACAACTGTCAGGCTTTGTACAAGCTACGGGTAAGACCCAGGCTGGCCTAAGCCCTCCAACTCCCCAAAGCTGGCCCTCTACACTTCCCTCTGGTCCTTACCCAGGTAGGGACCCTGCTCCCTCAAGAGCATAACTCCTGTCCTCCCTTGAACTACAACTCATACCCAGGTAGGGCCCCTGATCTCTTGCAACTTCAAGAGCTCCTCTCTGGCCAAGGACTGGAGCTGGGACTAAGTAATGGACGATGGAGTTGACAAATGGTGCCTGGTCCTATGACCAGTGCTTTGCACAGCGGTCCCCTGTACTCTCTTTCTGACCAGGTGCTCAATCCTCTTATTATCTCTGGCTACCAGGAGCTCCTAGTACCAGTGCTGCTGCTGGTACCACCTCAGCTTGACTCCTCAAGTTTTTTAGAGGGGAATATTGGGAAAACTCAGCAAATTAATGCTTACTTTACTCCACCATCTTGGCTGTACCTTCATCATGTTCCACTCATCCCCATCTATTTTGGAAGAGCTGTTTCCTGGTACAATGTCCTCAGCAGAGCCACAGACTTAGATACATTAACATCACCTGCAGCAGTCCTTCCAAATATATTCTCTAAAAATAAGGAACAATTGCATGCAATTTTGTATCTGAGACAAATCTTTTTCTGGTATAACAGAAGAAAATGCCTCTGTCTATTTGGGACTACCCATGGGAAATTCAGCCAGTGATAACATGAATAAAAGGAAAGTGCAATCATATTTGACTAAACACTCAGTTAAGCCCACTGGTCAAATTGTGATGACATTCAACTCTACCAAGCATTTCATTTCATTTAAGCAATGGTGTGATCACTGAGGGTCCTCTGTGTCCTGGATGGAGCTATTATTTATCCCAAAAAAGGCATGCACCCCAGGGAGCTAACCGTTAACTGTATTTACCCTATGATGTGGGAAGGATTAATTTATTGTCATTGACTGTGACCTCTGACATCAGTCAGATGGTTCATCATGGAGTGAGATTCTCTAAGTACTCGGAGATGGATCATTTCTTCCATAGATTTGTTTTGGGAGACAATAAAGAACAGCATTAGACATGATCCACAGCTTGGTCAGTTTACTAATTATTTTAATGGAGCAGCAGTAAGAAGGTTTTTGTTAATGAAACAAAAATTATATCTCATATTTGAACATATCTTCATGAAACTACCTGCTGTTCATCAGGCAAGGAGAAGCTGTCATCATGGTTTGATGGATTCCATTTCCAACAGGGGGAGTGGAAAACTCATTGAAATTAGTGGCTCACTAGTACCCAGGCAACAAGAGATTGATAAGCCAGGTCATCACGAAGACTATAGTTACCTTGGCTTCTTAACTTTTTAACACTAAGGGAGGACATGTCTGGCTCAATGGTGAGTTTCTGCATTGTGCAAGTTTATGTTTCTATAAATGATTGATTAAGCTTTGGCACTGGGTGATAAATGTTTCAGCAGGGCATCAAATGACACACTTCTCCCCTACTGTGGCAGTATCATCATCACTTAAGAAGGAATGCCATAACTCATAGACACAAGGAAGTATAAGTTCGGCCCTTACACTAGTATTAATGAGATCATTTCAGGTACCACGACTTAACTTGATGATTTCCAACCCCAGGACTGACAACCACAGTCATCCAAGCAAGAGTTCCATTCAAACACAGATTCACTGCCTCTGAGAGAGCCAGAACATCCAGACTTGAGTACATATTGTGATGCATTCTGGTCATGGTGGCCAGCAGCAGCACTGGTACTAGGAGCTCCTGGTGGCCAGAGATAATAAGAGGATTGAGCACCATGGAGCCCAGCAGTGAACCTGTACATTCAAAGGTTTTAATTTTTTTATTATAATCCTGACAATTACAAACATTCCAATATAGAAAGAAGAAGAAAAAGAGAATTTTATGTGAAACTGGACTGCTATTGTGTGGGGTTTTTTATTAATTTATTTTGATTTATCAACAATCACTTCTGCAAGCTTTTGAGTTTTAGATTTTTCTTCCCCTTCCTCCTCCCATCTCCCTCTCCAAGATGGGCATTCAATCTGATACAGGCTATACATATACATTCCTATTAAACATATTTTCACATTAGTCATGTTGTAAGGAAGAATTAGACCCAATAGGAGGAACCACAGCACAATAGAAGAAAAAAAATAGCAAATAGTATGCTTCAATCTGCATTCAGACTTCATTGTTCTTACTTTGTGAAATGAATTTCTTTCATTTTCCATCACTAGGCCTTTGGAGATGTCTTAGATCCTCGTAGTGCTGGGAAGGGTTAAGTTTATCAATATTAGTCATTGGACAATGTGGCTGTTATTGTGTACAATATTCTCTTAGTTCTGCTCACTTCTCTCAGCATCAGAGCATACAAGTCTTTCCAGGTTTTTCTGAAGTCAGCCTGTTTATCATTTCTTATGGCACAATAGTATTTCCTTACATTCATATACCACAACTTGTTCAGTCATTCCTCAATTGATGGGCATCCTCTCAATTTCCAATTCTTTGCCACCACAAAAAGAGCTGCTATAAATATTTTTGTACATATAGGTCTTTTTCCCATTTGTAGGATCTCTTTGGGATACAGACCTAGAAGTGCTGTTTCTGGGTCAAAGAGTATGTATATTTTTAAAGCCCTTTGGGCGTGGTTCCAAATTGCTCTCCAAAATGGTTGGATCATTTCACAACTCCAGCCACAATGCATTAGTGTTCCAATTTTCCCACATCTTCTCCAACATTTATCATTTTCCTGTTTTGCCATGTTGGCCAATCTGATAGGTGTGATGTGGTACCTCAGTGTTGTTTTGATTTGCATTTTTCTAATCAATATTGATTTAGAGCATTTTTTCATATGACTATAGATGGCTTTAATTTCTTCTTCTGACCACATCAACCACCTACCTGTGGACTTGCTTGGGTTTACTGAGTGCATTTGCTTTTTGGTGGGTTGGTGTCACACGAGGCAATGTGAGTGACACTGAAAACAGTGGGTTTGATAATACTGAGATGGTCCACACACTACAAAATCACTACTGATTTTTCCCTATTTACATATATCCCAGATTAAGGTAGGGTTGCCTTACATATTGTATTCTATGAGATAAACATTTTTATTTTGACAACCTGTGCACAATAAAGTGATTAAACTTGATTGTTGTAATGAATTCTATAATGTCTGATCTCAGAAGTTTTCTAGTCCAGTTCTAGCTTAGGCTGAGCTTGCCTTAGGCCAGTCCTCTGGTAGTTTATCCTTGGAGCAGTAATGAAATGACATGGCTGTAAGTCATTCTATAGTTAACAAATAGGGATTTACTTAGCTATAGCAGCAGGACAATAAGGACTGATAATGCAGAACTCCATCAGATGGAGCAGGGTAATGTACAGAGAGCACCTAACCAGAGGAAGGCAGCAGAAAGAATGAAATTTTGGAGAATTAGATATAAAGAAGCAATTGGGGTTTTTGTTCATTTCCATGTAATGTTTTATTATATATCTCCTTATATACCTTCTTTTATTTTTGGTATGTATGTATCTTTTGAATATTTTTTATTTTATATTTGGATGTTCATTATTTATAGTACACTGTAAATTCTTAAACCCAGCAAAGAACATCAGATGATCAAAATATTTGTAAATTTGTTGATTTTAAACATTATTTGAATAAGTGAAAACAAAACTACTCACTAAAATTTAGTGTCTGATACACCCTCTATTCAAGGACAAAATAGTAAAAGGATTTTTGGAACAGGGAGATAGAATGGGAGCTTGCTCAATCCATGGCGTGCAATGACCTGGCGTTATGGTATTTCCAGGAACAGGGAGTAAATTTCCGCATAATAGAAAGTTTAGGTTTTCTTATTTGTTATCCTATAATGGGGATATTAAGCATTGAGGATACCCTGAGATGATTCATACCCTGAGATGATTCAGCTGAGCAAAGCTCCGCTGAGTTATCTATCATGATCTCCCAGTCAATTTTCAGTGGTCACCTGGAATTAGTGTTGGCTATTTTGTACTCTGGAGACCAAGGAGCTATGATGATACCTGAACCTTTCAGCCAATAAAGAATCAAGGATGTTTTCAATACCCAAGAATGTATTTGGGGAAAAAAAAAGACTTAAGTATTAGTAAAACCTCTCTCTGGGCCTCCAATCCCCCATCTTCCATTGCCTATTGGAGATCTCAACCTGGATGTCCTGTAGACATTTTAAACTCAACATGTTTCAAACTGAGCTCATTATGTTTGCTTTCCCATGTCCCCCCAGACTCTCTTAATTTCCCTATTCCTGTCTAGTGTGCCACCATTTTCTCAATCACCCAGGCACCTCATAACCTAGGTGGCATCCATTACCACCAGGATCAAATATAAAATTCTCTTTGGCTTTTAAAGCCCCTTCCTACTGATGGAATCCTAATAAAGTTGCCCCAACCCCAATACTCTAACTTCCTTATGGGCTTCACTGAACAATAGACATGCCTTGATTTGACCACACAATCTAACTTTAACCACTCAATATAGCCACTGCCCCCTCTTTTCTCTCCCACTCAATATCCTAACTTCCTCATATATGCCTTACTGCTCACTAAAACAGCAGGTGTGAACACGAACTCATATTTCCCACAGAAACATCAGGCACATCCATGTGATGGGATACTGGCCACTGCCTCTAGCTACCCACCACCCCCAGACCCATTCCTCATATTTCCCACAATACAGCAGGTGTGTCTATGCACTCAACCACAGTTACATCCATCTAGTCTCAGACAGGACCACAACAATCAATCAGAAAGCAGCACCATAAGGATGCCCAAACAAGATGTGGACCCTAAAACATTATAAGGGACTTTGCTAAGTAGGCACCTGCCCAGTAATAGCAAAAGCTATCCTTTAGGTGAGCTTATGATGTAGAGAGGCTTATTATAATATCATTATCATACACACAGGTCCCCTCCAAATGGGTTTTCTGTATGCATTATGGGAAATCGCATGCATAGTTTCATGGAGGCTGGAACCCTTCCCCATTACCTAATCCCTTGACAAACCACTCCTGTCTTTTTAATATTCATAATTTCTGTTGTGTAATCAGCATATTTACACAATGTATTTGCTTGTCTTGTCTTAATAAATTGCTGATTCCTCTTGGAATTCAGGCCATTAGAGGCATCACTCTTAATAATTGCCTTTATTTGGATTAGATGTGGTCTGACTGAATTCTTTGAGGTGACAACCCCCAGAAAAAACCATGAAACCTCAACATTACCTTTCAAGTCTTCTTAACCCTGAACCTCCTCTGAATATTTTAGCTAGCCCAAGATCAGCTGACTTCAATGTCTCAACTTCTCTCCTTCTTTTGCACTACCTGGTTTCCATGGCTTCCTTCAAATCTCAGCTAAAAGCCCACCTTCCAGAAGCCTTTCCCAATACCACTTAAGGCTAGTGCCTTCCCTGGACTGATTATCTCCAATTTATATGGGTACATATGGACTTTTCTTGTATGGTTGTTTGCTTGTTGTATGCCCATATACCTTTTTGGGCTCATTTCACATTACTCTCTTTCATGAGCTCTACCTTCCAAACTAGCCTACTTGCTGCTTCTTGAACTCTGAATCTCACATACACACCCCTCCACACCCCCCCACACACCCCTACCTTGCCTTTTCACAGGATGCCAATGCTTGAAATACATTTACTCCTCTACTTCTTAAAGTCCCTGGTGTCCTTCAAGACTCAGTCTGTCTTTTTTAAAAAATTAATTTATTTTGATTTATCAACCATGACTTCCATAAGCTTTTGAGTTTTAAATTTTTCTCCCCTTCCATCTCCAAGACGGTGGGCAATCTGATATAAGCTATGCATATACATTCCTATTAAACATATTTTCACATTAGTCATGTTGTAAGGAAGAATTAGAACCAATAGGAAGAGCCACCTGAAAGAGGAAACAAAACAAAACAAAACACAAGAAAAAAATAGCAAATAGTATGCTTTGATCTGTATTCAAACTTCATAGTTCTTTCTTTGAATGTGGATAGCATTTCCCAAGATGAGGCCTGTGGAGATATCTTAGATCCTTCCATTGCTGAGAGGGTCTAAGTCTATCAATGTTAGTCATCACACAATTTAGCTGTTACTGTGTACAAAGTTCTCCTGGTTCTGCTCACTTCACTCAGCATCAGACCATACAAGTCTTTCTGGGTTTTTCTGAAGTCTGCCTGCTCATCATTTCTTACACCACAACAGTATTCCATTACATTCATACACCACAACTTGTTCAGCCATTCCCCAATTGATGGGCATCCTCTTAATTTCCAATTCTTTGCCACCACAAAAAGCATTGATGTAACTATTTTTTGTACATAAATGGATCCTTTTCCCATTTGTAGGATCTCTTTGGGATACAGCCCTAGAAGTGCTGTTGCTGGGTCAAAAGGTATGCACATTTTTATAGCCCTTTGGGTACAGTTTCAAATTGCTCTCCAGAATTGTTGTATCATTTCACAACTCCACCAACAATGCATTAGTGTTCCAATTTTCCCACATGTTCTCCAGCATTTATCATTGTCCTGTTTTGTCATGTTGGACAAAAATGATGTGGTACCTCAGAGTTGTTTTG